CTGAGCTTCCTCCTAACCATCCCCCCAGCCACTGCCTTTCCTCATGCCCCTCATAGGCCTGAAATAGCCAACAGTGAGCCTTGTCAATTACTCCTCGTTAACTGGAGAGCAACCCAGCAACTAGGGAGCATCCCAGCTTACGTGACCCCTTTTTTGTCTCTGGCAGGAATTTAGATAATGGGCTGTGTGCAATGTAAGGATAAAGAAGCAACAAAACTGACGGAGGAGAGGGACGGCAGCCTGAACCAGAGCTCCGGGTACCGCTATGGCACAGACCCCACCCCTCAGCACTACCCCAGCTTCGGTGTGACCTCCATCCCCAACTACAACAACTTCCACGCAGCCGGGGGCCAAGGACTCACTGTCTTTGGAGGTGTGAACTCTTCGTCTCATACGGGGACCTTGCGTACGAGAGGAGGAACAGGTAAGCCCCCAAAGTCACGGAGTGTGGAGAGGGGGCAGCCGCCCTTAACTCTTTTGGCAATTGAACATCTGGGTTCCCATCACTTCCCTTTGACTAGGGGTTTCACATGTAAGTTTCTAATATGTCTCCTCTACTAGATGAGGGGCTGTAAGAAAAGCCAGAGCTTGGTGTACAAACAAAATGCTTGGCTACAGGGTTGCAAGGTGCCCCAAGTTGCTGCTCTGAGGATTCTGTATGGGTTAGTGAGCTACAGCTTTCTACTGAGGCACTGTAGGTTAATGACTCTCAGCCTCGCCTGGCTGGTTGGCACAGAAGAACTAGGGCAGCCTTTTCAAAACACGGATGCCTGAGCCATGTCCCAGTCTTTTGAATTAGAGGCTCCAGGACTGGGTCTGGGTGTGTGTATTTTGAGTTCTCTAGATATTAATGTACTCCCTCTTCCCACCCACTTCTTCCTAATCCTCAGCCTGCCTTTCTCTTTTTCTTTTTTTTTTTTTTTTTTTTTTTTTTTTTTTTTTTTTGCAGTTTCCGTGTCTTTCGTACCACAAGGCTGTATTTTGCTGCCATGTGTATTTGCTGACTTAGCTAATACTTTGTAAAATATCTGGCATACATTCTCAGACATATGTTTTCCAAAATATTTGTAAGTTATCTCATGCATCCTTAGTCGTCCAAATTTTCTCTTGAGTATGTGAACCATGGTAACTAGATATTTGACATTATTTGTTCCAAAATTATTTTGTTTATTGCAAAAGTTTGAAAGAACACAGCATCTCTCAGCTCATCTGGCAGCAGATGTCTTATATAAAAGTTTTAAAGAATACGATATCTTTCAACCCATCTGGCAGCAGGTACCTTTTCACCTAGGGAGGAGGCACTACTAAGGCATCAGCAAGTATTTTTTCCCTCTGCACCAAACACACATCAGTGTAGTTGTATCAAAAGGCCTGACCCTGAGCCTTTGGACATGATCTACTTCTCTTCTGCTAGCCTAGCACGCTCTGCCCAGTAGAAGTGTTTATGTTCACCCTCCTGCTGTGGTGACTGTAGCTTTCCTTTCAACCCAGGCCTTGCATGGGTTGAATACATGCTAAGTATCTTTACCCATCCCTCCCACCTTCCAAAGGCACCCGGAAAGGAGAGATGCAGACAGGCAGTCTAAAGCCATCTGTCTTCTGGGGATGCAGGAGAAAAAAAGAGGCGAAAACACACCCAGCGCAACCCCCATCGTCGTGCCTACCATGAGAAGCATGGGGGCTTTGCCAGCCTAGGCTGTTAATTCTGCTGACACAGCCATTATCCTTGTTCATTCATTCATGAGTGCTGGATATGGACCCCTGTGTCTGCAGGTATCATTCATTAAAGTCACTAGAGAGGGCCACTTGTGTTGAGCATGTGGGTCTCCACTACAGTCAGGAGCAGTCTTCGTCTAAGAGGCTACTTGATCCCTTGTAACATTTGAAAGTTAAAACACAGTACCCCCAAATGTTGGCAGATTTTTCTGCCTTGAATTATTTGGTTGTAATATATATGCATGTCCTTTCTCCCAACACTGCCTTCAGTCCTGTAGGGCCAAGAACAACGTCTGTGTTTCTCTGTAACCTCCTTTGATTCTCCCCTCGGTTCCCGGAACATGGAACAGAAAAGCCCTCAGTGAGAACTTGTCAGCTGATGCAAGGAGATAGTGGGGTGCTGGTCTTCATGTGCCTTGCCTTCCATACAGTGGAGCTGGCTTGTCTTCATTTTTAGGTTGTTTTTAAAGAAGGGAATCTGGTCATGGAGCGTTAAATAAGAATAGGCATGACCTTACAGGCATCCACATTTTTGTTTTAAGCCAATCTCTTTTCTTACCTTCCAAAGAAACCTAAGGAAAGAAAGACAGTTGCCAAGTGAGCCTTGCTTTGCGTGGTCAGACCTCTGAATGCTAACTCTCCTGAGGAAAGTCCCACTTGGGATGGGGCAGAAAGACAAGCCCCACTCCTCTCTGTGGTCCTTGAATAGTGCCATGACACATTTCTTCCCTTGGAACTACCTACACAGCAAACTGGCAGCTTAGTAAAAAAGTGAGCTCTGGCCGGGTGCAGTAGCTCACACCTGTAATCCCAGCACTTTGGGAGGCCGAGGTGGGTGGATCACTTGAGGTCAGGAGTTTGAGACCAGCCTGGCCAACATTGCGAAACCCTGTCTCTACTAAAAATAGAAAAAATTAGCCAGGTGTGGTGGCAGGTGCCTGTAATCCCAGCTACTCGGGAGGCTGAGGCAGGAGAAGTGCTTGAACCCACGAGGCAGAGGTTGCAGTGAGCTGAGATCACGCTATTGCACTCCAGCCTGGGCGACGAGAGTGAAACTCCGTCTCAAAAAAAAAAAAAATTTAACTCTCTTCATCATATAGATATCTTTTTTCAATCTGTACAGAAGATCTTTCTTCATGATTTTTTTATAATTTAATGGTATCTACTATGTGATGTTTAAATATTTTTTTTTAATGTACAGAGGTTATGTTTCCCAAATCTTACCCAGACGAGTATGGCACTTAGTTAGACATTTCTAGCAGCAGATTTCCCCTCGCCTCTAACCGAACTATCACATTTCTGTCTTAACTAATGCAAAAATATCAAGTAGTGAGAGACCCAGGTTTATAACTGTGCTAGGTACGTAGAGGCTGCTGCCTTCAGCCTGGACTTTCACAAAGTAGTAATATTCCAGGGAGCTTGTAACCAGTGATACCACAACTTTTAAAAACTAAAACAAAAACACATTTGTCTTATGACTATGTAATTTTCACTAGAATCTACACTTCTCAGAGCAGCAAGGACTTTAGAAACTATGAAATGTCACTGACATTTATCATCAAATACAAGCATAAAATGTAAGAACTAAAAAATACTCAAAAGAAATAACTGCTTAGCCCTAGCTCCTGAGCTGGGAGGATTTGGTCTGTGGAAACAGGGAGGGCCAGCAACCTGTTCCAGCACAAAAGAAAATAGACTGTGAGGTAGATAACTGATCATACACAGCTGACCAGACAAGTACACAGTTTTGGAAGACAACTTAATTTACCATTGCTTTTAAGACATATGCAATTGCCTTAATAAAAGAACTTTAATAGCAGTGAATTATCTTATATGTACTAAAGTAGAAATAGCTGTGTATTTATGAATCAGGAATTTCATAGTTTCAAAATTGGTTTTCTTTACACTCGAACACTTACAGTGACGACGTAAAGTGTGGCACCGCTTGGATCCAAATCTTCCTTCGTGCTTTTTTGTTTGTGTGTGTGTGTCCATACATCAATTAAAATTATAAAACCTGAATTTACAGTTTCTGTGGGTCTGGAATCTGCGAATGCTTCGTTGGGTCCTTCGGAATCTCTCACAGGCTGTAATCAAGGTGTGCTGGCTGGGCTACAGTCATCTCACAGTTTAGCTGAGAATGATCTGCTTCCAAACTCATGTAGTGCTGGCAAGATTTGGTGCCTCCCTGGCTGTTGGCCAGAGGCCACCTTCAGTTCTTGGTCACGTGGGCCTCGCCAGCATGGCGCCTTGCTTCATCAAAGTACACAAGCTGAAGTGGCAATAGAGAGAGTCTGCTAGAAAGGCAGAAGTCACCATCTTTTGAAGCCTAGTCACTTAAGGGACTGCACATTCTGTTGAATAGAAGCAAGTTGTTAGATCCAGCCTACACTCAAGGGGAGGGGCTTGCACGAGACATGAATCCTAAGAGGCAGGAATCACTGGGGACTGTGTTAGAATTATGCCTATTGGGTTGAGCATGGTAGATCACACCTGTAATCCTAGCACTTTGGGAGGCCAAGGCAGGAGGATCGCTTGCGCCCAGGAGTTCGAGACCAGCCTGGGCAACATAGTGAGACCCCCGTCTCTATTAAAAAATGTATATATATGCCTAATTACGTGGAGGAAATCCTAGGCCAAATGACACTGGATAGTCTCTGCTGCTGCTAGCAAACTTCTGCAAAGTAGGAAGGGCCTCTCCAGAGAGTCAGCCAGATGAGACAACATAGGGTGGATGTGAGGAAGAGTGAGCGCTACAAGACAGTGTGAGGAGAGGTGAGTTCAAGGTAGAAGGAGGACAAGGGAGAGGGTTCCATTTTCAGCAGTGGGGCTGAGCAGCACAAAACTGCAAACCCAACTGCAGATGCCGAGAGCAGTACATCCTCTAATTGGGGTGAATATTACAGAAAGAGTCTTCTCTAAATGTCCCCAAGCTGCAGGAGGTCTTTCCTATTACATTCTATATTACTGTTTTACCAGGAGAAAGGGTGGTCCATTTTACCCAGAACCTAACATGGGCTCCAAGTGGAGGAGAAGACGTGACCAGCAAAGGATGTCAGTAACTGCCACAGAGCCCTGCGAACCTGAACCCTGATGCTGACGCTGCCCTTTTGTTTGGGACGTGATTTTAGTATCTCCCTGCTCCTCAGCACTCATTCAAAGCTATTACAGAAAGAAGCCCTTCAGCTGCATGTTTTTATCAGATCCAGTAAGGCTTCCCTACAAAAACCAAGGCATAAACACAGCCCTCTGACTGTGGTTTTGACACATTAATTACAACACCTCATCACGTTATTAGTGCTGACTAGATGTAGATAGTGAGAATGAGATTTTAGTGAAGATCTAATTTCTTGGAATTAATTTCCCCTTGTGTAATAATCTCCCTTCTTGTGAATTTCGTTTTGGCAGGAGTGACACTGTTTGTGGCCCTTTATGACTATGAAGCACGGACAGAAGATGACCTGAGTTTTCACAAAGGAGAAAAATTTCAAATATTGAACAGCTCGTAAGTTTGGAGAGGGAGGAGAAGCATGTATACCTTTCAGGTTGGGAAGGGGTCTTGTATTTCTGGTCTGCACCTCTTCAGATGTCTGAAATCCTAAAAGAACAGTCGCTAAATTCACCAGTTTACAACAATATACTATGAGAAAAAGAAGAGTCAGTGACACAGTGCAGTATTTTATGGCACTGTGTGTCCAAGGAGATTTTTGGAGAGTACCAAAAATACTAGCACAGTCCGTGTTTATTGGTTTTGGTTTAGGTTTAAAGGTTGTAAAATCACCAGCATCACTCTCCATAGCCCTGAGTGTTTCTACAAACCTACAGTTTCAACTGATTGGCACAAGCCTTGGCTACCCACGTTTCATGCTCTCTGCCTTGAGATTTTCTTCACGTTTCACATGTTATACTAGCTAAGCCCTCACTTGAGGCTTGCAACAAGTTCTTTGTTTTATAAACTGCTAAACATTTCATTGGTGAAGCCCATGGAGGCGTTTCACTGTAATGAAAATTTGGGAGTGACTGGACTCTTTTGGAGCCAAAAGAAGTGATTTCACCCACTCATGAATGAATATGCTGCATGGTTGTTTAACATTGGCCAGGAGGAACAACAGTTAAACAGGCAGTGGGGGGATTTCAAGAGTGAGGACCACTCACTTTTCAAATCCTGCTTTTAATACCTCCATAAGAAGAGTAAACATGGGTCAGATTTTCTTATGGTTTATAAATACTTCCTCTGTTAGATGGAGGCAGCGTGCGCAGATGAGGCCCTTCAGAAAAAATCTAGGCTCTGAAGAAAGTGTCGGGTGGTTCCACATCGGCAAGCCAGGCATCTCCAGCGTCCCTATGAGTGCCCCCAGTGGTTGGGAAAGAGTGCCACGCAGGGGCTGAGGGGCACACCAGGAAGTTCTATGCCACCAAGTCTGGTTGCTTCTCCTCTGCTCTCTGAGCAAACCAGATTCCATGTCGGCAGAAGGACTTGGAGGCAGGCTCCTCAGCTTTCCCAGAAGG